GGAGAGAGTCCGTTGGCTGCTGAATCAGTGACCTAGAACTGTGTCTGTTCATGGCCAAAATCAGTAAGCATCCAGCAAACAAACAAAACAGCTTTCTATTGTTTCCTAAATTTAATAATGTAACATTCCTGTTACTTTTTTCCAGTTAACAGTTTAGACTAGAATACAACTTATGGCTACCTTTCATGTATGCAATTCTGAACTCACAGAGCCTGTTCATGTTATCAGTGTTTCTTCACATTAAAAAGGAAAAAATAAGACAGTTCAATCATCTATTTCCTCTCAGTTTAAAAAGAATAGTGCCAGAGGCCATGCATGAAAAATACATCTGTTAATTAATTCTGCTCTAAATCACAATATATTTTATGTCATACATATCCAGGAATCACAAGCATTTAACAATACTAGTATTTTTAATAGGGTCTATGAAGCTCTGAGCCAAACTGTTGGAAGAGATAAGCTCTTAAATTGATACTCTTTGAATGTTGAAATAGATACAAGTTCTCCTTAAATTGACATTATTGAAACTAAAGATTAGGCCTTTAAAGTTTTATCATAATCACATTGTAAAACATGCATGATTGCTATTGTAGACCGGCTGAACTGGGGCCACAGCAAATTACATTCCTTCAAAAGAACATTATACCTATGCGCTCTGATAAAAATGTTTACTATTCTCCACTTAATTCTCTTACTATTGATCTTTCACTTTTATATTATGCTCATATTTTCTCTGTTCTTTTATTTTTGTTTCTAAATTTTGATGCCACTGCACATTGCTTTTAGCAGGTGCTCACATGAGGAAATTATAATCATTTCTAACCTATATCTGTCAGGTTTTTAGGATTGCAATATGCTGAGCTCGGTAATCACTCAGTTCTTTGAAACTGCATAGTTTTTAGGGCTCAAAATCCACCTGGGAAATGGTCATCACGATTTCAGTAACTTCAATACCTGTCATTTTGTTGGATAATTTGTCACTGGTAAGATAACAAATTCTTTACACAGGTGAGAAATATGCCTCAGATGCCTAATCAGTGCATCTATAATAATAAAAGGGTAATATGCTAATTAGACCAGATGTCATTCCAGACATCCTTCCTGATGAATCCGGGGCCCGAGAGAAGCCAGCCCGGGTCCCGGGTGCCTGCGGGCAGCCCGAGGGAAGCCAACCTGGGTCCTGGGTGCCTACAGGCGGCCAGAAGAGGGAAGCCCAGGTCCCAGGTGCCAGAGGGAAGCTGGTGCCAGCAGCCGGGGAAAGGAAGGCCTACTCTTGCATAAATTTTAGTGCATCAGGCCAATAGTCCTATATAATAAAAGCCTAAATGCAAATTGACCAAACAGCAGAATGACTGGTGGAACTACCAGTCGCTATCACGCACACTGACCACCAGGGGACAAATGCTCAATGTAGGAGCTGCCCCCAGCCCGCAGCCCCCAGGCCAGCCAAGACAAATGCCAGCAGGGGCCCCCCACAAATTGGCCCTGATTGCCGGCCAGGCCTAGGAACCCTACCTGTGCACAAATTTCATGCACTGGGCCTCTGGTTTTTAATAAAACAGGGGAATCTACAAACAACTTCACACTCCTTGTATCTTTCATCTTTATTGACAGAACACAACAGGGATCACTGCACAGAGAAAAACACATAAAGACCCACCCAAAATGTTATTTTTCCTCCTTCTCTAATGGAGTTTTTTCCCCAATTAGCAATAATCATGCCTGGGATAAACTTCATTGGCTATAATACTGCCACTGCACAAAGCTCCAATTGAGTATTTTTAGAGAAATTATTTTGAAAACAAACTGAAGTATGCTCATGATTTCATTCAAATTCCTAAAATCCATCAAAGCACACAAACAAATCAGTTCTTACAGGATTGTCCCTCTTTGTGATTGCCCTGTGCTGTTTTCCGTGGGATCCTGGGCTGGGAAGCCATGGGTAAATGTGGAGGCTTCACTGAGAAGACATTGGGACAGCCCAGGGAGAGGACTTGTGATGTCTAATTGTGTCAACTAATCTGGGCCACCGTACCCAGATATTTGGTCAAAGATTATTCTAGATATTTCTGTGAAGGTATTTTTGATGAGGGAAGGGAGTAGAGGAAGAAGTGGGTCCTAATATATGATGACAGGAGAAGATTTGACTTTGGGGGTGGGCACACAGTGCAATATACAGATCTTGTAACATATAAACCCACACCTGAAACCTGTTTGATCATGTTCACCAATGTCACCCAATAAATTTAATTAAAATAAATAAAAATAAATACTTCTGTGGCATCTTGTCAGAAACATATTCTGTCGTGAGCTGGGGGCACAGTGGTAGGAGGTCGCCCTCGGATCTCCCCGCGCCAAGCCTGACCAGAGGACTGAGACTTGCTGAGCTTCACAGAGATAGGAGCAAAGGCCAAGGGCCAGGGGATACATTTTTGGTAATTTAAGAAAGATTCACAGTCACCCATCTAAGAGCCTGACCTATAAACCAGAGTGGCAAATTGTCCATTGTTAGTGAGATGGCACTGCCTAGGGTCAGACTCTAAGTTCCTCTGGCCAGGGCATGCTTTCACTGCACTTAGAGCAGGACACCATGCAGCCCTGCATGGGGCTGAGTCCCTACCATAGAGACCAGACCCCCCTAAACTCTCAGGTCAGCATCCTCTCTCTAGAAGTGTGAGGGGGAAACCTCTCCAGGCGCAGAGTCAGAAGACGGGAAGCCAGCAGCGTGATTCGGTGCTGATAGCTGGCACCATGGCCGGCAGGTGGCCAGCTTCTGGGGCACCTGGTCAGTGCTAGCCTTGGTGGAGAGGTGCTGCTAAGAATGGATTGACCACTTGCTTTGTGCCGGAGATGACACCTGCTATGATCAATAAAGTCTGTAAAACTGTTGATACAATCAATCAAGCTAGAGTCCAACCTGGGACTGGATTATTCTATCTCTAGGGAGCTTTGGTTAACTTCTGTTTGTATCCATCATATGTGAATTCATAAATCAGTTATCACTCAACATTTATGTGTTTATGCCAAGCACTGAACTCTGGGGTCACTGTGGGGAACAAAAGACAGAGAAAGTCTCTTCTCTCATGGACTTCACATTCTAGTTAATGCAGCAAAAGCAAAAAAGGTATATAGGAGAGATAAGTTCTAATAAGAAAGAACCTAGAGAAAGGGATCTGGGGAAAGACAGCCTTCCCAGTGAAATGACATTTGAAGGGACCTAAAGAAAGTGAAGGAGATAGTCATTCAGGTATCTGGGAGGAACATTCCAAGTAGAGGGCAATGCAAAGGCCTGGGGCAGCAGAGGGAGAGAGGAAGTCTAGAGGAAGGAGAGGCAGTCAGGAGGTAATGAGCCACCTGCAGACTCCAGCCTGTGGTCTGAGTGGCCTGGGCAGACCTGAAGGGTGTTAGGGATAGGAATGATCTGAGCCAGCTTTCCTTTTAATTGATCACTCTGCCTGCCAGGACATTGCTTCTGGAGGCCAATATTCTTCGTGAGCTCTGGGAGGATGACTCACCTAGCACCCAGTTACTTAAAGGGGCAGCACCCAGAGGAAAGGGTGAGGGCCTAGGAGAGCATCTGAGTGCTGCCCTTGTTCTGTGGCCTTAGGTGAGTTAGGAATAACTCTCCACATCTGTGTCCTCATCTATACAATGATAAAACCAGCAATCCCAATCTCCAGAGCGTTACAGTAAGGACTGCTGAAGATTGACAAACGTTAAATATATTACATGGCATAGCAGGTGCTCAACTAAATGTTAGGTAATGATTAGTTTGACCCATGCCTATTTTCTACTCACTGTGTTCTTCACTTGTGTGAATATGAGATATCCCCCTCAGAGGATGAAGTCTGACCAATTTGAACAACGTATTTATTTCTGACTTATTTTTCCATTGACCTGGCTTATAGATGAACTATTCTCACTTATTTAAACATGGAAGACAATTTAAACACATGCTCATCTAACTTCATGTGTATCCTATTGCGTGGAATTTACATGAGTCTCCTCAGGTGGTAGATTCATCTCATTATGATCATCAACCTTCTCCAGTCAAAAATGTCCATTTGTCTACAACCTCCTCTATTAAAAGCATTATTTCTGTACAGGTATATCAAGGGAGACTTCCCAAAGGGAGAATATTCTGTTTTCACAATTGAAAATATGTGACAAAGTTTAGGTGTTCAACTTATAACCCATATCACAATGATATTCTCTTACCTCCTGCAAAAACTTTTCACTAATCTGACTGAAATGGTGTCCTGGGGGTTTGATCCCAGATACCATCAGCCCAGGACTGAAGACCCTCGGCTTCTGCAAGTCTGGCTTGAACTTCTCGTAGAGGCTGGCAGCCGGCTTCAGCTCTCGGCCTGCCACCTTCTCCTCTTTGGGAAGAGGCGTGTTACATGTGGGCGGGGCATAAGGAAGGCCCACTGGGACCAGCGAGGTGTCCACCTGGCCGAGAGCCTGCGGACTCCTCCTGATGTAGGTGATGATCTTGGGCCTCACGTGCTTGGGCTTGGGCAAAATGATGGGCTTGGGTTCTGTCCTTTCTGCTGTTCTTTCAACCCGGTGGCTCTCCAGTGCCTCCTGCGAGGAAGGTGTACCCTCAGAAGGTGTGGAGATTGGCTTGGGGATCCCACTGGGGCAGGTGTTCTTGTCAGGCACTTTGGGGGAGGTGTTCAACAGCTGCAGGCTGTCAGTGGGAGGTGGGGCAGCCAACCGTGGCCCTGAGGGTGACCCTGCGTCCACACTTGACATACTCAAGTCCTGAAGACCGGCGCTGGGCCGGTGGGTCACACTGACAGTTGTCTCTGGGTGGAGAGGGGTTGGGACACTGAGAGGAGAATCAGTTCTTGCTGTGGAACTTTCCGTCTTAACTGCATTTTCAGCAACAGATGTAGTGACCTCTTTGCTTTCCCCGGCTTCTGAGCTGCTGCTCTGAGGGTCAAGGGGCTCAGGGACCCCAGTTGTGCTCTCTCCAACAGAAGGATCCGAAGTAAAAGCCATAGCACTGGCCCTGCTCCCACTGCTCAGCACCCTTTTCTCCTCGCTGGCAGCTGGGGCACGAGGAATAAAAGCTGCGTGGCCATCACCCGGTGACGTGCTGCTGGATGAACTTTCATGCAGCTTCCCAGCTGCAACTGGTGAAATTTTGCCGTGGAGCTGATTATCAGCAGCTCGCAAGGAAGCCGGGCCAGGTTTGGGGAAGGTCTGGAGAGAACCTTGCTCAGCCAGGTGGACGGCGCTCTGGTCCTGCACACTCCTGCCTCTTGGCCCTCCAGGCGTGTGGACACTGCTCTGGGGCTGGGGCAGGTTGCTGACCGGCCTGGTGGGGGCTTCTTGCTGTGCTCCCCCGCCAGGCAAATTTCTCTCTTGGGGTAAGACGCTGTCTTCCTTGGGACATCCCAGACACTCGGCCCGGGCTGACATGAACTCCTGCAGGGCCCAGGGTTGGACAGATTTCAGCTCTGGCTTGGGCTCTCCCTTTTCCGGATCTAATTGTGCTTCTGGCTCACTCAGGGCTTCCTCGGGTGCTGAAGTCAGAGCACACTCTGACTGGGCAGAGCGTGGGGTGCTCTCGTTGCTAGCTTCTGGCACATGTGCTCCTTCCATCGGGGGCTCTAAGCAGGTGGTCTCCTTGGCTTCTGAGGTAGATGGTTTAGGATGACACACAAAGCTGTCCCTGGGGAGTGGGATGTCACTGTCTTCTGGGGCCCCTCACCACCCTTGGGCATGCCATCCGGGGCATCAGGGGGGTCCAGTGGGACAGGCTGTGGAGGTGGCTGAGTCAGGCTCCCGGCACACTCCTTCGTGAACTGGGCCCCTGCAGCAGCAGGGCTGCTCGCCCTATCCAAAGCGTGCCTTCTCAGTGCCGCGTCGTCCAGCGTCTTTGCCAGTTTATCCTTGGGAGCATGTCGGGGAGTTTCAGCGCCCCTTGGAGTCAAAACGTCTGGACTGGCCTCACCCGTGACAGACCTCCAGCCTGCCAGACTTGGTCCCTGTCCACTCCACGCGGGCTGCAGGAGAGCTGTGCCTCTCTGCATTGTGTGCTCTTCGTTTATTTCCCTACGAACAGCCGAAGACAATTTTAAATCCTTCAGGCTGCTGGGGCCAGCCTGCAATCCCTTCCCAAAGCCCTGAAGTGAGTGAAATTCGTTATGGAAATGGCTTCTGTTTTCTGGCTCATGTGAATTTGCATTTCCAATTTCATCTGCCAGGTCACATGTCTGAGACTCATCGCGAGAGGGACCGCCCTCCACCAGGATCTGATTGGCATTAGTATCACCCAGACTTAGGAGACTCTCATTATTGTTTTTCACCCCCTTTCTGTTGTCCTGCAGTTGAGTGTAATATGATTTCTTGGAAGCCAATGGGACGCTCATCTTCCACCTTCAGTGGGGGCTGCTCGCCATGCAGGCCTCCTGGACGGACAGGGGCTTCCTCAAGCTGCTGCGGGATTGAGAGGAAATTCTGAAGCTGCTCGTCGCCCCCTGACAACGTTACATCAAGACACGGCTTTTAATCATTTTCAGAGCAATTTTAAAACCGAACCTTGTCTTTATATGTGGCTGGATGACTAATCTGTTAGGGGCTTGCTGAACAAGAGCCAATTAATCCATGAGACCTAGAGAGAAATAAAAATAAAGCCTTGTTAAATTGACACAGAGATTCTCAAGAGAAAAAGGCATGGTAAGCACAGATTTACTCATCACTTCCATAGTATTATTTCATTCATTCAACCCATAGATTTCTAAAAAACCTTTCAGAGAAGGGCTCCTGCTGACCAAGTAGGGAGAAATTGAAACTTTAGAATAATTAATGTTAGAAATGGATGGTGAACGCCTATTAAATCTTAAATTCAGATTTTAAAAATCCACAAGTCCATACTGATAATGAATTAAAAGGGTGGAGGAGAAAAAAAGGCTCTTCTTCACAGAAGACTACCAGCTAATACAGGGAAACTATGCAGTTAGGAAATCACCATTTTTCAACCACCAGAGTCATCATTATCTTGGGTGAGGGACACAGCAGTGCTCCTGGGTGACAGATTGTTGGGGAACAGAATATATACAGAATCTCAAGGTACCATCCTTCAGATTACTTTATTTCTTACAAAATAAAAATTTTATCTTTACAATTGAGACAAATGGTGGACATCTCCCTAATTAAATGATCAAATTTATCATCATCAATAATGGAAACTATCAGTGTTCCTGAGGTTAGGTAGTCCTCAGTGCTTCATATCACCCAATAGTATTCTTGCTATAAATGTTCAACCTGAATTTCCTCAGGAGGAAATAATCAAATTTAAATTGATGGACATTTTACAAAATAACTGGCCTAACCTTGGCCCAAAATGCCAATAGATATCTAAACACAGTGCATGATCCTTGACTGGACCTTGGGTTTTTAAAAAAAGTTAGCAAAGTATTGAGACAATTAGAAATTTAAATATGGACTGTATATTAGGTAAAGGTGTTTGATCAGTATTAGCTTTCTTAGTTATATAACAGTATTGTGATCATATCAGAGATAATCTTTGGTTTTGGAAGATTCATGTTTTTAAACACGATATACTTCTTAACATGACATGCTGTCCTTAACTTACTCTCAAATGGTTCAGCAAAGAGAAAAAATATGTGTGCACATTTGTGTGTAAAAGAGAGAGAGAGCGCATGCAACTATAGAAAAATGGCGATTTGAAAATCTAGGTGATCCAGTCTACTATACCCACAACTTTTGTATATGTTTGAACATTTTTGAAATAAAAAGTTAGAGGATTCTATTCCAACTTGCAAGGTCTGCATGATCCGGACCTTACACCCCTTTCTGGCCTCCTCCCCACTCATCGCCCTCTTATTCTCTAGGCGACAGCCACACTGTTCTCATTCTTCAAGCCACGTTCCTTCCTCCTTGCTTCAGGGCCTCTGCACATACTCTCCCATGTAAATGGGATGTAGAATCTGCCCCAACCTCACACAAGTAACTCATTTGTATTCTTCAGTTTGCAGTATAAATACCACTTCCTCTAGGAAGCCTTCCTGATCCACAAGAATAGATTAGGTACTTCTACAATGAACTTTCATAATATATTTTATTTTTACTTTTTAAAAAAACTTCATCTGTAGAAGACACTGAAGAAAATATGTTTGCACTCAGCATATATATCAGGCACTTAATATGAATGAACAAATGACTGAATGAGTTATAAAGATCAATGTTACTTCTGTCCTCAGAGAGCTTAAAATCCAACACAGTATTTAAATTTCTATCAAAATGAATAATAGATCATCAGTAAACATTGTTTACCACACTATTAATGCATTTTATTCAGCCCTGGGTGGGAGAGTTAAAAGTAATAAGGTTCTGCCTCGTCCCTAATTCCCCAAATGGAGGTTCAAAGTGAACAGTCTTCCATACCTTCCTCCTCATTCATACAAACATATGTGAGCTCGTGAGCATGCTCAGACATGCACACACATGCACACACACAGGCACACACAACACCTGGGAGGCTCTTGTGATGTTTCTACTAAAATAGGTTACATGGCAGCCCACTTGTCATTGTTTAATATGCAGTTTTATATATTTAAAAGAATATTTACATATATCATATATCTATATAAACATATATGTATATTTATTTTATAATATATATATGTTATAAAACAAAAAAATATATAATGAACAAGAAACATAAAGGATGGAAAAATCACCAATAACTTGCAGCTACCTCCCTACTTAATTTTTCACTTGACAACCTATCATGGGCATCCTTAAGTGCTCAGCTGTTGAAGCTCTTTTTTCATTTCTTTTGTATCTATACATAAGCATGTACTTTCCATATAAATTTCTTGTCAGAAATCAAAAAAGGAGAGAAAACTCACATAAAATGGGAAAAGTAAATTAAAATTCAATTTCTTTTTATTTGATCCTTCTTCTCTTGGGGAGAGGGGAAGAAGGATCAAATAATCGGTCCTAATGGTGTCCCAGTCATGACTGTTCAACAGGCTGCATGTGCACAAGAGCTGGTGGGTGGGGACAGGGTGGGGACCTGCACCATCAAGACATGAGGCTGCTTGCGGAGGTGCACGCAGGCCCACCGTGCTGCCCAGCCTGGAGGGGGTTATTAGGATGGGGGTAGCCCCATGGTGGAGGTGTGTGCAGGCCCATCACACTGCCTGGCCCAGAGGGAGGCATCAAGACAGGGCCGGGGCCTCGGCAGAGAGCTCTCAGCACTCCTGCACTGGGATCTGAAGGTGCTAAGAGGAAGGGACAGTATATGGACAGCTCTCCTGGAGGAGAGAGCAGATAGGCAGTTAGGGGGATCAGAGAAGGAGGGAAGAGCAGTTAGGGCCATCAGGCAGGCAGGTGAGCACTTAGGTGCCAGTGGTTCTGGATTGTGAGAGGGATCCTAGATTGTAGAGGGTGCATGCTGGGCTGAGGGACACTTTCCTTTGCATGAATTTTGTGCACTGGGCCACTAGTATTATACTGATCTAGGCCATTCCCGTGTTCACATAACCCTACACACATATAAGCACCTGCACACATGTGCTCTTTTGTTTCCCTGCTGTCCTGCCATTCTACTCTCCTCACGTGCACTCGTGGCCCTCATCCTCCCAACTCCCTTCATCCTAGCCTTCGTTCCTTGACACAGAAGAGATTCTCAAGGAATCCCCTTTCTGTATTCAGATACTTCCCTTATTCAATTTTAAGAATGTTCTTCTTGAAGCTACATGTGTCCCTCAGGTACAAATACAAAAAGCATGCAGGCAAATCAATAAGACGGCAGTTTAAAAGAATACTGTGTCCCCTGAGTCAGAAAACAGGTGTCCCAGAAAGTCAGGGAGAGCAAGTAACTTTACAGACATGGGCCATCCACAGAAAAAGGGCATCTCTAACTCTGGGGGAAGAATCAGAAGCATGAAACTAAGAGCCCTGTTTGGTTTGAATTGTTGAGGCTGGGAGAAACAAACAAATGAATTTTTGATGAGCAAAACCACATACACCACAATCCACAACCAGATAGATGCAAGACAGTGACAAATAGGTGTAAGATCAAGGTCTTGCTAGAAAGAGTTGTCAATAAATCATAAATGATGCTCATCGCTGAGGGCATGGAAAGCTCGAATCTGCTAGGGCCAAGAACCATTCTCAGCACTAATACATATTTGTACAATTTAATTTTTAAATCATATTTACTTAACCTTTAATTTTAATTTAAGCAATTAATGTTTTTAATGACCTCCAGACATAGGTCGTAACATTTCTTTGCACTTTTTTTCTCCCTCCTGGTAAGGAAATAAAAGCAGAGATCAGAGAGATTCCCAAGATCACACAGCTAAGAGTAAGACAGAGACAGGAAAGTAAAATCCATGCAAAAAGGGGAAGCTACAAAAGAAAAGCTGCCTGTTGGTGAAACTGTACAGAGCAAAAAGGAAGAATAAAAAGAAAAGTCACCATCATAAGAATAAGAACAGAAAAGCAAAAACAGAACCCAAAGAGGGAGAGAAAGCTCTCAGGAGACAGGACAATCAAATTCCAGACCTTCTCCAATGACAGAGGCAAAATTACATACAGAGGTGTGTTCCCTGATCTCTCCCCCTCGCCTAGGCACCCCTAAGCTCCATGGTTCCACCAGAAGACAGTCAGAGTCAACATGAACAGCAGTTTTTTTCTGGACCTGGATTTCAATCCCGGGTACTCAACTAGAAAAAGTTTCCCCAATATAAACATGGTCATAAAAATTCACACTCATAATATAGGAGTGTGTGAGTAAACAAAAAATGCAAATATGTCAACCAACTGTGCTCACTCCCCTCTGAGGTGCATTTTCCCAGCGTGAGGAGTGTAACTTTCATGTGCCTCACATCTGTGACTATAGAAAGTTATGAACAATGGCCTTAGAGGGAAATGGTAATTAATCTTGAAAAATATCTATTTGTTAAGTCCTAAGTTCAGAAGAAATTTAAAGATTTCTAGGCTCATGGACTATCTGATGCTTAATAGTCTTCCAAGGAGTTCCCCCTACCGGTAGGGTGAAAACCCCAGTGTCAGGAAATCCACCAGCTCCAAGCAGCCCCCTTCCCCCATCTCTGGGCAGGGACACCATCAAACCAGCCAGCAGCTGGTATCGCCTCCCTAGAACAGAACAATGCAATCCTTTGGCAAAAGATGTTGTGCTCCCTTCTTCCCCAAAATCTTGTTAAAGAACTCAGATTCTCCCAACTAAACACCCACACTAGGGTTCCTGATTCCTTTTGAGTAGGGTGCTCAGAGCTTCACACAGTACTCCAGTCCTGGGTGCATCATCCAAGGTTATGTGGAAATAAGATTTCCATTCTCGTAGTTATACCACATACTCTAAGAGAGTGACCTTTTCATAGGCATATAAACTGCCCTGTTAATCCTATCTAATAAAAGACAAAAATGGTAATTGGCGTACGACCGATACCCTTTTCATTGGCTAATCAGCGAGATATGCAAATTAACTGGCAGCCAAGATGGTGGCCGGCAGCCAGGCAGCTGATGCGAACAGGGAGGCTTGCTTGCTTCAGTGACAGAGGACTCCAACGTTCCCCGCCTGACTTGCCGGCCTCTCAGCTGCCACTC